AGAAGGTCACAATAGAAGGAAATGCACTAGAAGACGTTGAATCCTTATACTATGTAGGGAGTATAATATTATTGACAGAGAGGGAGGAACAGGAGCTGAAATGAAGTCCCGCATGGGAAAAGCACAAGCTGCTTTCCTATCTTTGAATAGGACTTGGAAGACCAGAGATGTCACACTTCGTACAAAGCTGAGGATTTTCATTTTCAATTCAAATGTGAAATCAGTCCTGTTGTATGGATGTGAGACATGAAACTCAATACAGACTTGCATAAAGAGGATCCAGGTTTTCTTGAGCAAGTGTCTAAGTGTCTGAGGATCCGATGGACAGACAGGGTCACCAATGAGGAAGTGTCAAGGAAAACAAGACAGATCCCAGTCAGAGATGAGGTAGGTAGAATGCAGTGGCGATGGATTGGACATACTCTCAGGAAGTCAGGGAGCTGCATAAAAAAGAAAGCGTTGGATTGGAATTCACAGAGTAAAAGATCAAGGGGAAAACTGTGTGGAACCTTGAGCAGAATTACAGAAATCGATGTACAGAAAAGTGGGAAGACATGGCTAGTCCAGGATAGAGAAAGGTGGAAAGTGTTTTTCCGTGGCCTATACCCTGGTGCAGGCGGGAGAGAAAGGCAATGATGATGATGATGTGTTGCAAGAGCCGTAAAACTCTTAATAAGACTAAAAACCTTTTCCCCCCCCCCCCCCTCTCTGAACTCTCTAGTCTCTATGTGTTTTGGTAAGTGTTTAACGGCGTTCGCAACTGCATAAAGTCATTTGAGCGCGCGGGACACATTAAACATTTTCAGCTTGGTAGGAATTTTGAATTTTGCAGGGGTGGCGGCCGAAGCCTCCTTTTATCGATTTTGGACCACGAAGGGATCCTTAACGTGCACAACTTGCACACGGGACCTCTGAGATTTTTTCGCCGCTATCCGAGAAGGCTAGGTGTTAGATCTTACCTACTATAAGATCAGGGATGTGGCTGAAAGACAGCAGTAAGAAGGAGTCAAAGAGTAGCAGTAGAATTATCGAAAGGCTGCAGAAAGAGTCAAGAGCCCAGAAGACGGGGGAGGGGTGGGGGGGCAGAAAAGAAAGGTGGAGACGAAAGCAGACGACAGAACATGGTTAGAAAGCAGGAAAGGAGGAGGAAAGAGAACATTTGAGAGAAGAAAACTTTCCGTTGAGAGAAGAAACTTTTCCGTCGCTGTCAGGACCTATTGCATGAGAGGCGAACACCATAACCTCTAGACCACGAGAGCCCCCCCCCATCTGATCGCTCTCTCTCTCTCTCTCTCTCTCTCTCTCTCTCTCTCTCTCTCTCTCTCTCTCTCTCTCTCTCTCTCTCTCTCTCTCTCTCTCTCTCTCTCTCCCTCTCCCTCTCCCTCCCTCTCTCTCTCTCTCTCTCTCTCTCTCTCTCTCTCTCTCTCTCTCTCTCTATCTATCTATCTATCTATCTATCTATCTATCTATCTCAAAAACCATTCCAACTTTGGAAAGCATCCTAATCTTTACCATGATAAAATTATTCTTAAATATATAGATGTGTTATGTGTCTCCACTGATCATCTCAGAAATAAGGTAAAAAATTGATAAGATGATATACATACATAATATATATCGTCGGCCTGGTGATAAAACCGACTAACCCACAAAATGTACCAAAAAAATGTATTGGCCCTATTGATAGCAAATTGTCCATTTCATATACTCACTCAGTCAGATCTAAATTTTGTCTAGAAATGTCTTTAAAACATTAGAAATAAAACCGTATAACCCGGCATCCATCGGATTTTAGCCCGATGTTTCCGACTATCCCACCTGCAAGGGAGGGAATGAGGGTTGTCGGTTTTTGTCGCGCTAACAATGAGGGGCCACGTGCTACGTTACCGACTAACCCCGCTTCGACTCGTCTCCGGACTTCGTTTGATAGTCCAGAATTCGCTCACGTAACCATGTGAGCTCTTCAAAAGGGAAATTTGTGTAATATTTCTTGTTGGTTTCATTTGGGAGTTATATAGATCTGGTTGTTCCCTCTTTTTTATGCTGCTAATAATGTTATTAATGACTAAAACTTCCCACTGTACCCACCGAACTGTTTTTATCTCGTGACAATGCCGGTATTTCAAACGCATCTTTATGGATTGTGTTTTATATGAAACTATTTTTTCTGTCCACGTTTTCTTCTTTGTCTTTGTACTTGAAAGTTACCGAATTATGAAGGACTACTGTCAATTTTTCCATTGCAATTGAATGGACGAAGTCGATAGCTTTTCATTCTTTACTAACTCACTCAGAAAAAAAAAATGTGGGACCTGTCCAGCACACTGTCTGCCCCCAACGATCGTTTTCTTTGAAAGTTTTCAACAATTTTTTTTTCATTTGCTGTGTTTATTGCAGTCATTACCTTCTGAAACATCTTTCGATTTTCTTTGAAAGTTCATTTCGTTTGCGTTTTGTATAGATTATTTTCTGTGTCATAACATAATGCTTTATCTTTATATCAAACCTTAACTTACATAACGCTATAACATTCAATAAGATGATGCCACGCTTGCTACGTCACCTCTGACCCTCAGCGCAATGGAAAGTGATCAACATGACCAGGCTAATGTCGCATCAGCTGATAATACTACAGTTATGTCGCCTTTGATCTCTGCGAAAAAGACACGGCATGAAAACGATTTGAAGGGTAACAAAAGGAAGAGGTTGAAAGAACTGGGGATGCCTCTACACATGTCAAGGCATGAAGCGAGCAGGACGTGAACTTGACGTCCTTTGCAGGTGTAAACTGGTTTGTACAAAATGCAATGACATCACTGGTCACTCTCTTGGAAAGAAAAGAGAGACTACGTGTCTGCCATGATACACAGGATTGACAAAAAGAGATCTTACACAGCAAGTGAAACCCCAAAGAGAAATTACACCCTTCAATATCACTTAAAAGTGTCAATGGTCAAAGAACACCTGTTTGTGAAACAATCTTCATGAACACCACAGGCCTGACCAACTGGTTTATTTAAAGTGTCTTCTCCGAAAAAAAACAAGAGGTCCCCCCTCACCCCCCCCCCCCTCTCTAGAACACATCACGTCTACGGTGAGAGAGCCAAGGATGACAAGTTGTTCCATAAAGAGAAATTTTTTGACAAACTTTCGAAGATATCCTCCTGTCTACCAATGACAATCCAGAAAACGTCAGATCTGCATCAAGTATACATGGAGAACTTTGCAGAGAGGGTGAAAGCCACATTGAGCTATCAAGTGTTCTGCCAAAAGTTCAAGAAAAACGATTTGGGTTCACTTTCAACCAAGAAATACCAGTGCGACATTTGCACTAGCTTCGAATTAGGAAACCTCACAGAACAGAATACACAGCTCATCAAATATGAATATGAGGAAAGTGGCAGCTAGACAAGAGAAGGAGAAGGACAGGGAGGCGGCACTGGATCCAGAAAACAAAATGCGTGTCCTTTGTATGGGGATCCACTCCGTCCTTCTGGTCTCATCACTAAAGACATCCACCTTGTATTATAAGACAAAACTGGCTGTGCACAATTTTACAATTTTGGAGACGCCAGATGATATGTCTGGGATGAAAGTGAAGTTGGTCTGAGCTTCAACAGTTTTCATCATGTCTGACGCACTAACTGATATTGCAAGTGACTGGCTTCAACCACTTCATCATCTGCAGTGATTGGTGCAACTACTAAAACAGAACTGCCACCCTGGTGAGTGCAATGGACTTTCCTGGCCAAAGAGCTTAATCTCACAGTTGAGCAGAAATTCTCACCAAGGGCCATATCCAAATGGACGTGAATTCAGTCCATGGCACTATCCAGCGATGGCTCTAAAACGCACTGATGTACATCCCAATGGATTACCTGAACATCATGCTCCAAGCCAGACGCACCCCCAGGTCCTATGAAGTTATGTACCTTGGCAACAGCTTTTTCAAAGATTTTGCAAAGGTCGGAGAGCACTAAACAATCCGTCCAGGGAGAAAAGCAGGCAATCCTACTGTCACTGACTTGCAGGCATCAAAGTACACTCCATACTTTTCAATTCAGTACAAGCTGAACTTTGATGATGGATGGCAGGCGCTGCAAGGACCAAGAAAGCAGAACACCCAATGTACGACGGTTACTGCTGGACCTCTCTGCAAAGACAGATTGAAGAAAACTGCCAACCAGTTTAAACATCTACTGGAGTTGAAGGCCGTCGTACCACGATGCTACCACAATTACCATGAAACTTTGCCTCAGTAAGAAGTTTTGAAAGCGATCAAGTCAAATTCGATTATTGTTGAGTCTTTCAAAACAATGGTAACTTTTGTCGTATTGCCTTGTTATAGTTATAGCCACAGGACACAGAGTGAGAAAACCCAATAATGTAGTAGTTGTCAAGCCATGCACCTTGAAGAAAGTTGGCGCATTCTTTGATACTTACAAAGTCTTTTTGTATAATAATAATATATCGTCGGCCTTGGGATGAAACCGGCTAACCCCAGCGAGGTAAATTTTACAGGAGAAGGAAAAAACTGTTTTATTTCAAAACAAAGATGTTTAACGGTAAATCAGAGCTTCAAACACCTATAAAAACACTTTACCAAAAAAGTGTAGACTTTTTTTTCCTTAAAAAATCGTCGCTTTTAACGAAACTGCGTGGGTTAGACACGGTTGTGTCGCTCAAATTTTCCCCGATAAAACCGACCAACCCTCAATTTTGTGGGTTGGCCGGTTTTATCAGGAAGCCACTGCTGGCCTCGAGTTTGGTTGAGTGCAGCCAAGCCACACTTGACTGTAATGTATTCAAACGTCGTGATCTTTTGTAGAAGAAGAAGAAGAAGAAGTAGAAGAAGGAAAAGGAGAAGGAGGAGGAGGTGGAGGAGGAGGAGGAGGAAGAGGAGGAGGAAGAGGAGGAGGATGAGGAGGAGGAAGAGGAGAAAGAGGAGGAGGAGGAAGAGGCTGAAAAGGAGGAGGATAAGGAGAAAAAAGGAGGAGGAGGAGGAGTAAGAAGGAAGAGGAGGAAGACGATATTACTGCTACCAACATACTATCAGCTGCTGCCATTTCAACGCTGGAGTCAATTCTGGCAAAAACAGCAGTCACAAATTGGAACATTTAATAGAAGTAGAAGAAGCAGAACACAGCAATGGGTATATAAATTATATTTGAAGTAGAAGAACATGAGGTTCGAATGGTAAGGGAGAGCAGCTACAGCAATAACAACAAAAAACAACAACTACAACAAAAAACAACAACAACAGTAGTAGCAGTAGCATCAGCAGGCCTTTAGAATTTATGACAGTATCTGACACGGTACTATTGGCACTGGGTGGCCATTCAAAGGCCTGGAAAAAAGTAATACACATGTACTAAGAAAGAAATGAAAGCATAAAGCCACACAGAAGCTCTGCAACCTCAGCAATGGTTTGAGTGAAGTTGGCTCCATAATAATATATATATATATGCCTATGCATATATATATATATATATATATATATATATATATATATATATATATACATATATATATAAAACATACATATGGTAGCTTAAGGCTAGATGTTTTTATATCTACATCTCGCAATGTATTAAGTCCATAATACAAACAGAAACAAGAAAAATAGAGAAAGAAAAGTCTTTAATGCAAAATACATTGTAAAATATATTAGTGCACTATTTCATAGGAACACATATGCGACAACTGAGAAAATATTTGAGAACAGATTCAGAAGCTATCATTCCAAAACTGCAATTTTTCAGCAGTTAGGGAAGAAACAGCTTTATCAGTGAAATTAGCAATATTTCATTTAAATAAAACAGTACAACAGTATGTGCTACAACAATGTTAATACGTTAAATGCTCAAACCGAGTAATTACTTTTACAATCAAAACACTTACACACCCTTAAGAATTTTTTTTTTCAGAAATAATCCTTCACTGCCAGATGTTGTGGTACCCATCCTAAATCCCCCTCATGAATCAATAAAGTCTTTGAACTCTTCCCTGTTTCTAATCGATTCTAATTCCTCAAAAACATTTCCCTGGTAAATGAGAACTTCCTACAAAAACCCTAATTCTTCCCTGCTAACCTTAAATCCTTTCTTCAATCCTCATCGCTGACCTTAAATCTCCCATGAGAACCCAACCCTTCACTGTATTTTCGCAGAAAAAATTAGTCTACCACGCATATACAGCAAGCACGCGCGCTGCGAAACACGCACACAGCAAACACATTTTCAGATCCTGAAATTTGCCTTCCACACATACATTCTTTGTATTTCAAATATATGCACAGCAAGGTTCGTACACAGAGAAAAGATTTCCACGTCCCGTCAATTTTGCTATGTATGTGCACGCTAGACTGTATTCCACTCAGTCACTTTGTTATCATACTTGTAATACAGCCGCACAACAGTTGTAACACGTTTAAGCTTAACAAATTTGTTGTAGCCGACATGACAAACAAGACATAAAGATGAATAAAAAGCTCCAATAAATAAAGCAAGGCACATAACCCTAGCTTAAAGCCTTGGAAACCAAAGCCTGTCTGCGTATAGATATATTATTATGATGCACTCACAAACTAGAATGCTAAACTAAAAGATTTTTAGTATTTTTACTAGTGTATGAACATAAGAGGAACATTTTAGAGAAGAAGCTGTTTCTGCTTAAAGAGCGTGCACACAATGCTGTTCATCAAAGCTGGAAGTTACATTTTACTATTTAGCTCACAAATTGTCAGCAAGCGGTTCAGATGTACTCAGTTCAAAATTTTGAAAATGTGTTAAAATTGCAGTTTCTTAAGTTGCGTTATTAGTTGCATGTGCTCGAGAAATATTGTCGAAAATGCCAGTAAAGATAAAATAATTTATGCACAACTTTTAAAAGATGAAACAGTTTACTTTTCTCTAACGAAAAATTGTTTTCTATGCTTAGTACTTAGTACAGTTAAACAGTTTGCCAATAGTTGTTTGATAAAAAAGACAGAGCAGACCACACCAAAATGGCAAAAAGCTCACCACTGCCAACACAGCTGATGACAACAGTAAATGTGTTGGGTTATGGTGAAATCAGGCGCTTGTCAAACTAATGAAATTGAAGAAACCATATTTTTTCTGCCTGTTGGAGTTTTTATTTATTTTTTTCTTCCGTTTTTGGCTCAATACCTTTCTGGTCTTTTTAAAAGCACATTTCTATTGTCTTTCTAGAAAATGTCAATAAATAACCAAAAAAGTTAATTTGCAGTTACCAAGGTCACTCAAACATCAGATGTCACCAAACTTTGGTAGCCATTTTCTCGCTAATTTTACCTTTGATACAAGCAAACCCGACCTCCTTCAATCGCAAATATGTAAACTTCTATTCAAGACAGATGGGGTTTTTTTCTCAAAGGAACACCCTTGAGGATAATACCAATTACTCCATACGCCTAAAAATTGACGAGTGCCTGATTCCACTGCAACCTGACACAACCATTTTACGTCTAGACGCATCACATATATATATATAAATGCTCAGCTTTTCTTAATTGAGAACACTGTATCATTTCTACACCTTTTTAAAAGTAAAATTCAATCTGCCTTATTTAAGAACATTATATCATTTGTTAACAGCAAAGTCAAATGTTCTGTTCTGTCACTCTTCAAAAAGCTACTTGAGAAAAAACATGATAGGCCATGGACAGCGTCGTGAACACTCCCACGTGAAAAACCAGCACACGAGTGGGCTGAGGGATGGAAAAGAGGTAAACATATGTGTGGAGAAATCTGCTAGCAGTGAAGATGCGGAAATGTAGCGATGCGGCAAACGTTGTGGGTCCGCTGGCGACGTAGAGAAGGCCCATCAGAACAAAGAAGATCACGTTTTCCAGGTCATTCTGGTGGCATCTGAGAAACAGACATTAAGATTTTTTTTTTAATTGGCAGCAAAATAAATAGATACACTGAAGACAGATCAATACCAGGGAAATACAAAGTGTTTGTGTGAGGGGTTATATTTATCTTACCTAAATAGTACCAGAGAAATATAAACTATTTCTCAATTTATGATGTTGTAAGCTACTATCCAGTCTTATCAAAAAGAACCGGAGAAATATAAACTGTTTGTTTATTTGAGATGTTGTCAGCTACTAATCGATCTTACCATTCAGAACTGCACAAACAGAAATTGTTTGTTCATTTAAGATTTGGCTTTGGTAAATGTCCTTCTCTACACGTTGTCGTTGTTGCTTGCCTTTTCAACTTTCCGATAAAGAAAACGGAATTTAAAAATGTGCACTAATAAAGAATTATACTTCAACACAGCGTGTCTTCAAGCGTTGTCGAATGACCAGAATGTGTGTCCTCAAAGAGTTCATCTTCTCTGATCAAGGCAGACATAGTCAAGATGTCCCGAAAACAACTCAAAAACTACTCAACAAAAATAAAATTCTAAGAGCAGCAGCTCAGCTTGAAAACATTGTACATCTGGCAGTTGGCCCACAGGGGCTCAAGACATAAGGCATTTTGACATACATGTTGAAAGTCAGACATGACAGTAACACAGATCATAGTAATGATAGCAACATCATAGTAATGATAGCAACAACAACAACAACAGCAATAATAATAATAATAATGAAAAAGAAAAGAGGATTATCATTATCAAAAGAACCCTGGTTAGAAATAGGACTCCTTTTCCCCCAAAAGCAGCGTTTGAAAAAAGGACTGCCGTTTCATAAGAACGCTGTAAAATTTATAAAAAAGACCTGAGTGACATGGTCAGACTCGATTCTTGAGATCATCCATATAATCCCCCCCCCCCTCCACCCAGAAATCAGTCTTTTCAAAGTGAAACTGAGCCATCCCCACCACAACCTGATATCTTCTATTTATTCTTCAAAAGCCAAAACTGAAACAGTCATGGGTAATCATGGTACACAATTCATTCTCCAAACAAAGATACTCTCGAAAAACCTACATTACTATTTCAGTCTTTTCCCATCTACCACTTGTTTGAGTTCTAAAGGTAAATTATTCTTAAATCTACCTCTGTCTCTTTTGCCTTTCACAAAAAAATGTGTCATTTGATAGACAGAAAACTTTAAAAAGCATTACCTTCGAATTCGCTCAATCGTTGGGTGAACCTGCGGGCCCTTATTTGTCTTGTTTGGGTCAAATGAAGCAACATCCTCTTGGTTTAAAAACACCTGAGAATATAAAAAAATATTGTGAGCAAGCATCAACATAGAGGGTGAAAGGTCTTCCTTTTCTTCTTCTTTTGTGTACTCTTACTAGATATTAAGGGCTGTGGATGGAAGGTTGAGAGAACTGGAGAAGAATTAAAGCATGAAATGTGTTTGTTTCGTTTCATTTTAGAATGTTTTACAGACTGGCAAATAGGTCGTAATATAAGTGTTTAAGATTAAAAGTGCCACCAGAGAGTAACATACAAAAAAAGAAAGAAGGAGAGATAAGGATTGTACATGGGAAAGAAGGACTAAACGACACCAGAATGCCCATCAACCTCTAATGTTTATTAATTTCTTTGTCTATACAATAGATGTAATGTGAACCTATGAGATCATCTTCACAACATGAGAGGAAAAGTTTTTCATTTGGTTCTGTTTTAGTTTATCCTTTGCTTGCCATCATGGCTAGAAGATGGAAAATTAAGAGTACTGGTGAAATATTAAGTAGTCTTATTTATTTTTCCTGCGACAGAAGCAATTTGTACTTGTTTTACTGTGCTCGCAACTGCATGAGGTCATAATATGAGCGTGCGGGACACATTAGACACTTTCAGTTAGGTAGGAAATTTTTTAATTTTGCCCGAGTGGTGGCTGAAGCCGACTCTTATCGATTTTGGACCACCTAGAGATCTTTAACGTGCACAACTTGCAAACGAGACCTCCCAGATTTTTAGCCCTTATCAGGATGTGGTTGAAAGACAACACTAGGAAGGAGCCGCAAGGAGTAGCAGTAGAAAAAGGCTGCAGAAAGAGACAGGAGTCCAGAGGAGGGGGTGGGGGCCAAAAATGGAAACGAAAGCAGACAACAGAACATTGTTAGAGAGCAGCAAAGTAAATGTATTTTCTTTAATCTAAACTAATGAATATTGAATCTTTAATAGTGGTTGTCTTTGGTTTCAAATGAAATTCTATATCCCACATTGCCACAACTGCAACTTAATATTCACGAGCTTGACAAACAAGAGACAAATGTTCCTTTCCTTTCCTTTCATACACATGTATTTCCATATAAACATAACAGAGATCATTTGAAATTCAAGGGAAAGGAGATATACACTGCTACCTAGCACTGGCAGACAACAATATTGATTACATAACAACATAGCAGAAGTCCATGGTGTTATCATACAATTAGACGTGGAA